AGGGCTGCTGTCTGATTGGAGGCCTCCTGATTTTGAGACAAGGGGAGGAAGGGCAGCCTGGCTGCTGAGCCTGGCGTAAGGTGCTGGGACAGCACAAGGTATTTCCTGTGCTTGGACAGCAGGTGGGAATGGGGTTTTCAGCCTTTTCTGTGCGCTCTGGAGTGGTGGGGGTAAGAGGATGGCAGGTGATTGGTTTCTACCTTCTGAATACCCTGGAGAGAATGTGAGGCTGGGGCTCTGCAGCACCGCCCTGCAGAGGTTGGGACCTTTCTGCTGCTCCCCCCTTTTCTCTCTGACTATCTGCACAAGGTCTTTAGGCAGCTTTCAGCTTTCTTCCCTTCACTTCTCCACACTTAATTATGAAGGCTTGCACTAGTTAGAATCTTCCTAATAGGTAGAGGCAGCGTTGTTTAGAAAAGTGGCATCCCGCAAAGTGTGAGAAAGCTCCCAGGGAAGCCAATGTCACTCTGGGATGTGACTCACAGGGCAGAAACCTCCCGCCATGCTACTCTGTGAAAGGAGAGCAGCACAGGGCTGCTGTGCTCGGATGCTGAGCTGAGGCTGTGCTTTGAGAAGGGACTGCAGCGTGGGGTTGCTCAGGAGGATGGAGGACAGCTGAGTTCAGGGCTCTCCTGGCTGCTCTGCTTCCTCCCTGTGGCTCAAGCTGTGGCCTGGAAAAGCCCTGACTCCATCTCCTGTGGCTCCACGCTCTTAGTGGCAAGGAAAGAACTTCTGTATTTTCCAAGCGCTGGGAAGAAAGGGAAAGGCATGGGATGATGAACTAAAGCAGGGTTTACCCCTAATCCACACTGGCCCAGCATGGGTGTCCCGGTAGAGCACAGCGTGCGGCTGCCGGCTGGTGCCCAGCAGGTAGTAGATAATCCAGCACAGGCACAAGACCTTGAGGATGGACAGAAGGATCCAGACGTCCGCCAGCGTGATGGCCACATGGTTGAAAATCATACTGCTGATGAAAGCACTGCCCAGAAACACTACGTTCAGGGCCAGCAGCCCTGAGAACAGCTGCCCTGATTTCTGAGCCTGTCTGTCCCTCTGCTGCACGGAGCAGTGCCGGTACAGCCACGACTTCTCATAGTGGATCGTGGAGGTGCCTGGAGGGGCTGAGGCCAACCTGCTGTTGCAGTGGTGGCAAGGCTTTTGCTTGGAGGCTTTGTTGCCTGGCATGGCTGGGCTCCCTGTGGGTCACCTGCAGAGAGAGGGGTTAAAGGGGAAGGAAGGTTATAGAGAGAGTTGAGTGAGCGGGGAAAATAGATCAGGGTTTAGCCCAGGTTTGGGGGACAGAGTCATTGTAGAGTAGTGGGAAAAAGGTCACATTGCCAAAAGATGTCAATAAACACGGGTGTTAAAAGAGGTATTTGATGACTGCCCCACCAGCACTGGGAGTTGCTGGGATCAGAGGTGCCAAGTTTCCCATCCTCACCTTTCACACCTCCACACACAGCCCCACGTTCAGGTTTCCTCCTCTCTGTTGCTCCAAGAGTTATAGATGGGAATGAAGAGCAAATTCAGACCTGCTTTAGAATTCAGAGCTGTTTGGTTCTGACTGGTGGGGACAACCTCCTCCTTGTGCTTACGGGCTCCTTATATGGCTGCAGAGATCGTGACAGAGCTGACGAGGGGAATAAAGAGTATTTGTAAGTTTATCCAAGCTGTGAGGAAAAGACCCAGCCTGGCTTCCCAGGGGCTGAGAATAGAGCAGAGTTAACGTTTGGTTTTCTTTCTTTTTCTCCTTGAAGCACAGAGCGAAAAGCACAGAGCCATGAGCTGATCCAGAGCATTTTGACGGGCTGGCTCAGATAAATGGCCACAGCCTGGAAGCTGTTCTGTGCAGTGCTGGGAAAGACCTCGCCAGATTTGCCCATGGCAGAGTGATCTCTGGCTGTGAGCAGCGGTGGGGCAGAGCTGCTTCCCCATGGGGTCAGGGTATGGGAGCTGCTTTTGCTTGGGGCTGCAGCTGTGCTGAAAGCACTGGGGATGCGTTGGGGTGGGAACTGTGTACAGTTGTCATGGGGCTTTGAGGCAGAAGCTGTCTGAGAAGGGATTTAAATTTCCCTCTTCTTTAAATTTCCCTTTAAATGTTTCTCTCTTCTTTCACACACACACCGAGATGCTGTTTGCCTTTGGTCCACAGGCTTCAGTGCACTTCTAACGGAGATGGACCCTAAACCCTTCCCTCTTTGCCGCCCAAGCTCTCCTCCTGTTTAGCTCTCACACAAGCACAGAAGCAATGGCTCTCCCCTCTCCTACCCTGCTTTAGGGGCAGGAGAACCAGAAGGAAGCGCGCCGCGGAGGTCCCAGTGCCCGGGCGGTGCTGTGCACTGCAGCTGCTTGCTGAGGCCCCGTGCCCTGACCCGTGTGCTGCTGTGAGCAGCCGGCTGTCCTTACCTCCCAGCCGTGCTGCTGCGATGCTCTGCGCCTCTCCTGCCGGGCTGAGGTGCCGGCAGCGCTGCTCCCTGCTCAGTGCGGCCTCTGCTCCGAGACCATTGATTTTCTTTTTCCACCTTGTTTACTTTGGGTCTATTATTGTCATTACATTAATTAGTCAGCGAGACGCTCTCGTCTCTGACAAGGGCAGCCAATGGGAAACGGCTCCTTTATGCACCTGCTGAGTTGCCCCATGCCAGCAGCCTTGGCACAGGATGTGCCAACTGGTAAAACCACAAGCCACTGTGACTAATTCGTGCCATGGCTTCAGCAAATTCAAGGCTAATCTTGTGGTGTGAGCTTGTTCTGGGCTACAGAGATGGGAGCACTTAACTTTGGCTAACATCCACTCGTGGTCCCCGCTCCTTTGTTTCCAGGTAGTTCTGAAGGTTTATCTCTGGTGTACCACTTCTTTGTGTCTTTACCCATGGCACAGGTACCCCAACTGCTCCAAAAGACAAAGCCTGTGGTCCAGCCAAAGTGTGGGGACTGCATCAACTTGAGGATTTTTGGCAGAGAGGTGGCTGCTTTGGGGGATGGCTCTGAGCTGTAAATGTTGACTCCAGATGCTCATGTGCAAACCCCCTGGGCTCAGCCATGCGTTGGGAATGCTCTGGGTCCGAGCTGTGCTGTCACTGTTCCCTCTCGTGTCGCATTGATTTCTGGTTGGGATTTGTGGTGAGCTGATTGCTCTGGTTGTGCAGCTCAAAACAGCGGATTGACATTTCTGAGTGAGCCTGGCCTGATGAGAGGAGGAGCTGACTGTGTCCCAGGATGAGCCCCCAGCAGCACCTTGCTTCCTGCAGCTGCCAAACACGTGAGCTGGGAGGTGAGAGCTGGGAAAAGCTTTCAAGAGCCCAACAGCGGGTGGAGTGGGTGGGGGAGCACGGGTTATCGTGCGTCGGGATGTGACGAAAGGGATGGAAAACAAGAGCAAAAGGGGCCCACTTCTTCTAGGTGAGAACGCCCACAGGTGACGGAGCAGCCGTCAGCTGTGCCTCAGCTGTGCCGTAAAGCGGTGGTGTTTAATGTCCAACCCAACCCTCGGCTCGTGGGGCAGAGCTGGGATGCTGTCATCTGATGAGGATTTTGGGACTCCCCACGGGGAGATGCCCCAAAGCGTCAGCAGCTCCGTCCCGCTGGGAGGAGCAAGGAAGCGCTGCTCTGCCGCTCCCTGAGCACCACCGGGCTGTCCTGGGCTGCTGGCTGCTTTCGTGACCCCACCTGGGGGCTCTGTAGCAAACAGGGATCTCCCAAGAGCTATTTGCTGGGCTCTCTGTTGAGCAAAGCCGATGACTCGCATGTGGGGCATTTGCAAATCTGGCTGTTTTTCAGTACTCATCAGTCTAAATTAAACAGAGCTGGGAAATGGAAGCCAGGAGTCTGTATCCTGGGGTGAGGAAGACTGGGTGAAATCAGAGGTTCTTCCATTAAAGAAGGGCCTGAAGGAAAACACCAGGGCTGGGAGTGTCCCTGCAGTTTTCTCCAACAGGGCTGTGCATCAGGGCTACAAAGAGGAGCTGTACTTCAAAGCCTAGTGTGTCTTCTGGCTTTGGAGTCCAGGTTAGAGTCAGGGCTGTAGGTCTGATCGCAGCTCCATGCTGAGCCGTCACAGGGGCAGAGAGAGGCAGCGGCTCAAGCTGTGCTGGGGGAGGTTCAGCTCAGCTGTTAGGAAATGCTGCTTGGAAAGAGTGGCGATGCAGTGGCACAGGGAGGGGTAGGGGAGTGCCCTGGGGGTGCTGAGCCTGCGGGGATGTGGCACCAGGGATGTGGGGGTGGTGGGCTGGGTGGCCTCGGAGGGCTCCTCCAACCCGAATGATTCTGCGATTCTCAGAATGGCAGGTGTTTCAATTAGATGTATTGAGCCAAGTTTAACAAGAGATGCAATCGTTAAGCAGGAGCGGGGCGGAATGGGAAAGGATGAGTTGAGCTGACTGGGTCAGTCCCGGGCAGTTCCAATCACTGTGTGGGAGCAGCTGCCTTCACTGGGAAGCTGAGGGCAAGCAGCTGAATGCTATCAGTGATGTTTGCCCCTCTGCTATCAACAAGCTGCTTATTGGCGTTATCTGTGCGCTTAGCACTAACAGCATCCAGGCTGGGCCAAGCGGATCTGTAAACAGGAGCCAAGGAGGAAGGAGGTTGGTGCCCAGCGGCTGTGTTTGCCCAAGGGCTTTCTGAGGAATGCTGTGTGCCTTATGGCTCCCGGGCCAGCCCACACCCTTCCTCCTTTCCCTCTACTGATAACTGTGACAGTGACGTCTCCTGCAGGGCCGGTGGGTGAGCACCCGCTGGGGTCACCTCAGAGCTGGGCAGGTTGAGCCCTTGAGGCTCTGTGCTGGTAATGCTCAGCGCCGCGTTTTCCTCACTGGTTGTGTGGATCTTCCCCTGAATCCGGGTGCTCCTGGTGGGAGATTCAGCGTGGCTGCACCCCTGCAGAGCGCTGTCCCAGCCCTGCCCTGGCCCTGCTGTGCTCCTGCTGCAGGCCTGAGCCCCACTGTGTTCTGCAGCCCCATCCTCACCCCCTGCCCTGGGACTTCTGCCCGCATCCACTTCCAGCTCAATACAGCTTGATGCAAGACAGCAATGATTAACTTGGATTCCTCCCCTGTCTCTGACACGCCTCAGAGCAAATCACCCCGATAAAAGACTTCTTTTTCCCCTAATAAAACAAAACTCGCCCTCAAATAACAGATGATTAAGAAGCAGAGGATGGAATGGAAAGCTGTGGCAGCACTGGGATGCTGACTCAGGTCGTTGCCCATGTCCTTTCCTATGACCTTCCCTGCTCTTTTTGGAGCAGCACTTTCTGATTTCCTGTTCTTCGCTGCCTGTCCCCATGCAGGCCCCGCATTGACCTTGGGCTGCTGGATTTGTGTTGGTGGGTTCAGCTCCCACTGAACTCATATGACATGAGAAGCCCTTTGAAGCCCTTTGCTTTCCTGCAGCTCTTCATTTTTTGCCACTTAAGCAGCCTCCTGGAGGAATGTCCTTCTCCCCATTCAGGTGCCTCAGTGTCCCCACCTCCAGGAGTGGAAGAAGGAGCCTACAGCGGTGCTTTCTGCAGGCATCTGTCCCAGGGACACACGAGCAAAGGACAGAACAGCTCTCAACTGATGGCATCCCTGCATTTCCAGGTACTGCATCGGGCTGTCTTCCAGAGACAGACACTGCTGTGCCCAGGAGCTGCAGTGTGGGATGGAACAGTTTGCAGCATTCTCAGGGTTTTGTTTATCCCAGTGGGGTGTCCTGTGGTTGGGTGCTGTGGCTCCTGCTGCCCTGTAGCCTTGCACCAACCGGGTTGGTCTTTTGAGGTCCCTTTTAACTCAAGCTGTTCTGTGGCTCTGTGACTGGGTGCTGCAGTGGATCTCCCCCTGCACCCGTTCAGCCCCAGCAGTTACTGGTGCCCAGGCTGGGGAACCTGAGGTGTGATGGAGGAAACCAGTTGTGCCCCCATGGAGCAGAGCTGTGCTTGTAGGAGGTATTTCCCCAGAGCAGTGTGGGGTAAAGCAGCGTAAGGCTGTACGTAAGAGTGACGTCCGTGCACCACGTGCGTCTCATTCCTGACGTAACCTGTGGCTCCTGCAGCCAAAATGGAGAGAGTTTTTGTTTTAGGGAAGGTAATGTTTCTGGGCAGAGATTTTATCCTTACCAGGTCAATGCTGAAATAAGAGCCAGTCCGTGGGGCCGGGAGGGGCAGTGGGGCAGCTCCCAGGCCCATGGAGGGGAGGACCCACCTGAGGAGCTGCATCCAGGCAGTCCCTGGGCGGAGAAGTTAGGAAAACCACTCTGCTCAATGCCAGGTATCCCAAACTGCTTTTATTTTTTATTTTCTTTGACAGATGCGCACACACACACCTGTAGGAAAAGACTCAATCTCTGCCATGGCTGGAGCACTCTTCATTTGAACAATAACCACGGATGTGCTGGGGTGCAGGCAAAGCACAGCGGTGCCCTTGGGGCACACACCTCTCCAGGCAGTTTGTGCTCAGCCCCAGCTCTGCTTGGGCGCTGCGCAGTGCAGTGAGCCCATTCCTACCACCTGTAGCCCTGGGTCACGGAACAGGAGCTGAGGAACGGGGTCATCCCTGAGGTCCTTCCCAACCCAACCCGTTCTGTGATGCCACAGTCCACAGGGAGCTGCAGGTGCCCAGAGGTGCGTGCTGGGGCTGTGTGCATGGGCCCCGAATCTTGCAGGGCTGGAGGTGCATTGCAGTCCTACCTTGAGGGCACAGGAGGTGGAGGGGAAAGTGGTAGTGGTGGGATGATTTCTGCACTGCAGGGCACAGAGGGACCCTCCAGGAGTTGAGCATTACAGTGAACATCAATAAATAATTTTGCGTACAAAAAGGTTCAGCTATTAAAAAAAAAGTCATCTATTTAAAAAAGAAGAGAAGAAAAACAAACCTCTTCATTGTGCTCCCTCGCCCCTATGATCTTCACGGCTCTTGAGCACTGATTCAGGAAAATGAGGGGGGAAAAGTGCCAGGACAGCCCTGTGCTCAGCCCTCCCATATTGGTGCAGCCGTCAGCACCCCACCCTGCTGTGCTGGGGGGCTCAGCGCGGCGGTAGGGACAGGCGAGGCAGAGGGCAGACAGAGCGTTCCCAGAGCCTTTGGTGGCAGCGGTGGTTTTTCACATCTGCGGGGCAGTGGGCGGCTTCTGACTGGCCGTACCAGAAGTGCTCTGGTTTCCCCTTGCCGTTCGCTGCTGAGCTGACCCCTCTGCACAGGCAGTGACTGCCCGTGTGGCCAAACACTCCTGGGAAAGTAAAGCAGTGACGTGTGGGGTGAATGGGATCGAGGGAGGAAGGTGATTCTCTGCATGAACTGAGGGTAATTACCATCATCTTACTCTGTTCCTTCTTTTTTTTTTCTTTTTTTCTTTAAGGTCTAAGAACTTCAAACACACTCACGTGCACATCCACACACACATAGCAAAAATAAAATCTGGAGCTACATTGAGATGATTTTCACTGACAGTTCAGAAATGCCCCGACACTGCAGGAGGACACGATTGAGGCAGCGGTGAGGAGCCCTCAGGACGTGGGGACGAAGGGGGGTGGGTTGAGGAGGTTCTCATCTTCCTTATGAGAGCGTTCATCAGGACATGATGCAGACCTCCAGCAAACTGGCCACTGCGTGCATTCGGTAGAAGATCCCAAAGGGCAGGCAAATGTCCACGATGGCCGGCCACATGGAATCACCATAGAAGTTCAGTTCTGTGTCATTGTCAAAGTGGGGCCGGGCACCAAATGCTGGCATGATCCAGAGCTGTTTGAGAAATGGGAGAAGACCCTGCGGTGAGAAAGGCGTATAGCACAGCACAAACCTGCACTGACGGTACTGAGAGGTGAGAACCGCCTGGGCCAGGAGCGCGGGTTGGCGTCAAGATCGGGTACGGCCTGCTGTCCCCAGAGAACCGCAATCTGTGCCTCAGACCGAGCGCCAAAGCCCTCGCTATGGACGCGGCTGGGCGCGCTGCGCTCGCAGGCAGCGGCTCCTTGGGTGGAGCAGGCAGGAGCAGGGCTGAGCTGGCAGCAGCTCTGTGTGCGCAGGCTTCCAGGCTGTGGGTATTGAGAAAAGCTGTGCTGCCTTTTCTCCAGAAAGCCCACACTTTACCTCAGGCCATTCTACATAGAAACATGGAACGGTTTGGGTTGGATGGGACCTTGATGACTGTTTGGTTTCAGCCCCCAGACTAGATGTTTTCTTTGGATCCACCCAACATCTTATATTCTTGTTGACAAGGGGTGGCCTCTGCCAGCATAGCCTAAAACACCTGAACGCCAGGGCAGCTGCTATTTTAACCGATGAGGGAATTACAGCTGCCTGCTCTCACAGGTACAAACAAACCTGCTGCTTGTGTAGTAGAAGTGCAGAAATGGCAGTTTTTGTATGGGCGCACAGATACTCCTCCTTCGCGCTTGCTTCCCTCCTCCCCCACCCCAAGGAGCTCTTCTCTCTGCATGTACTCACTATGATGTTGCACAGCAGGAGGAACATGGAGATCTCCCTTAAGAGCTTCCTCTGCCAGTTCATCTTCTTGGGGGCCACGAGGGACCGCACGATGTCGGACGGCTGGGTGCCCTCAGTGCTGGGGGCAGGGTTCGGTGCCGACGCGCTGCCACTGTCGGGCACCCGGAGGGACACCGCATTGACATTGACGAAGGTGAGACCGTAGAGCTCCTTCTGGTGAGAGCTGTGCTTGTGGTCCTCCTTGGGGGGCTGCCGATGAAGGCCTTCAATGATGAAGATGTTCTGGAAAGTGTGCTGGGCGATCATGAGGAGGGCGTAAGTGAGGTTGAGCGCGCTGATGGCGTCCCTTGGCGTGCTGGCCACGATGGCTACGATGGAGTAGTAAGAAATAGCGTACTGCCCCAGGGCAGCCCCCATCAGCAGCGCCACGTCCAGCGTCCGCGTCGGGTTCTTGTGCCGGTCCATGTCTCTCTTGTCGAAGCGGTAGATGACAGAGCCTCCAATGCAGACAAGGGACATCAGGCCCAGACAAACAATGTTGAAGATGTAGTACATGGTGAGCGCTTGGCTCTTCTTGCTGGGCTCGGTGCTGGAATTTACTTGCACCTCATAAACAATAAAGACTCCCAAGCCGCCCACCAGAATGATGAGGCCCAGTACAATGCCCACAAAGAAGGTTCTTCGGAAGAGCTTGAACTTGAGGTGCTGGACGTGGTGGGAGTGGTGGTCTATAAAGCGCCCGACGTTCTTCCACATGACGTAAACCATGGCGGAGGCGAACAGGCTGTACTCGATGTTGAAGGGGTACAGCCAGAAGTAGCCGTTCTTGAAGATCTCGCAGATTTGGCTGTTGCAATTGCATGCTTCTGTTGAGCCACTTCTCATTCCCACTGAAAGAAGACGAAAGCACAGACACAGCGGTGTTACAGCGGGAGCCAGCACTTGTTGGCAGCCCCAAAAAACCAAATACTTTGGGTCAGAGAAAACAAAGCCAGCAAAAGAATGTGACCGCTTTGGAAATGAGGACACATCTACTTCAGCTTTCTGGTATTTGTGTTTTTCCAAAGAAGCCAGACGGGCAGCAGGTTGGATCTTTCTTTCCCTCCTTTCTTCATTCCCATTCCACTTATCCAAACCCCTCCACCTTCCTGACTCTTCCATCTATTTGTTAGGAAACGAACGTTATCACCTGGCTGCTAACATAGCAGCTCTAGATGGGCCTTCTGAAAATGGCTAAAACCTGATTTTCAGATCAATCCCTGGATCAGCTGGCTTCACAAATGAGGGAATTACCTTTCAGGAGCCACCTGAACAGCTCCTCCGTTGTATTTTTATTCAGCTTTGAATGCGCTTTGTGAACAGATTCATCTGTCACCGCTGACATCCACACCGCTAAGTTTGTGGTCAGAGTTAGCATCAAGCCACACCTGCAGAAAGAAGAGATGATGAGATCAAGGCCGTGGCTCTATGCCACATCTCTCCCATCCACATAGCAGATGTGCACGCAGTCAGAGGGGCTGCAGGAACTGCCACAGGAGGTTTGTGGACGCTTTAGTGGTCAGGGCTGTAAAGCCCAAACTTTTCTTATGCTCCTCTCACTCTCTTCCTACCTTGCGTCCATCTTCACGAGAATTAGCAAAGCCCAAATCCTCTTGTTGCTTTTGAACAACAGAATGGATGCATAGGTTTGAGTTGGTCTCTGGTGTTGCAAAAGTGGACAAGATCTTATTTCTTGTTTAACCTGAGGCTTACCTCAGGTAAGCCTACTGCATCTTTGTCTTTCCCAGGAAAGAAGAAGTCAGCTATGAAGGGTTTTACTTAGTGCTAATTATTTATTTCATACTAATCTGTTTGAGTAACGCTCAAATCCTTGAACTGGATCCCAGCTCTGCTCAATCCATCGATCATAAGCCTCAGCTGCTTGAGCCGGGACTTGGGGCCTGCTGGGTGCTCAGCAGGTTGAATTTGGGCAGATGGGAATTATCCCCTTGTTGCCTCTCAGCTGCATGAGTGCAGACACGAGGTCTGCAGAGACCTCCTTCCTCTGCATCAAAGAGCAGCAGTGCTCACCTGGTAACGTTCAGGTGTACGTGGACACAGTCTTTGGCAGAGATCCACAGGAAGTACGTCTGGCAAGGACAAGAGGAGAAACAAGAAAGCTTAGCTGCAAGAAAATCATCATTCTGAAGCAGGGATCTCTTTCACTTTGTGGCTGTTAGCCCATAGTCCTGCCCGTTTCGTATGCTGGCTGTTCTTTCCTTGCTCCTCCTGCCCATTGCCTCTGCTCTGCCCATGCCCAAACCCTACTCCCACCTCAGTTGTTGAACTCTTCCTTTGGGGTTGGAGCGTCTTCCCTGGGACAGATCAGCCATCTCACCTGTACAACCACGAATATTGCTTGCACGATGGGGTACATTATTTTGATTGCAGACAGGCAGCTGTAGAAGCTGGAGTAATATCCTATTTTGAACACATCCATGACGAGACTGAAAATGGCAAATAGGATCAGACCTCCTGTAGAAGAACCAGAACCAAACAGAAGATGTTTGCATGCATAGGCTAATGCAGTTGGATGAAAGGAAGAGGATGAACTATTGCCATGGAGAGGCTTTATTTCTACCTCAGTTTTCCTTTCCCACCACCCAAGGCATCTTAGCACCTCACGTGAAGTATTTCTGGCTGGAAGGGATTTTGGAAAGTCATCCAAGTCATTTCTCTGCTCTGACTGGAGCTAACAGGACTTGCAAGTCTGGGGAGGAAACCTGGTATTATAAAGTACCAAGGGCCATCGTGGATAAAGCGAGACTGGGCAGCTGAGGGTCTAGGAGCAGATGATACTACTGCCCCGCACAGGGGAAGGAGGTTGTGTCCCTGCTGGTTGTTCCTTTGTGTAACATTTAAAGCTCACACGAACTGCTCGTAGAACCATAGAATCATTAAGGTTGGAATTGACCTCTAAGATCATCAAGTCCAACCACTGACCCATCCCCACCATGCCTGCTAACCACGTCCCTCCGTGCCACATCACCATGGTTCTTGACATGCTATAGCCTGGATATGCCATCTTCTCAATGCCTCCTGCACGGATTAAGGAGGAGAAGGATGTATTTTGTAAGTACACACTGCTTGGAGATGAGCTATAATAGCTGTGCTCAAGGAAGTTTTATGGAGAAGACGTGATTCTTGGGCCTGACAAAACTATGTAAACTGTGAAATTAACTCAGTGCTGTGCTAAATTGGAGTTCCCCTGCTGGGAAATACATTCAAAACATTTCAAGAGGTTTGAATGAGCATTAGGTCATCTCTGACGCCTCGTGGTCTCACCTCCAGCCCTCATCCCCAAGGTCCTACCTCTCAGCCAGATGGGTCCAGCGTGGGAGTCTTTGCAGAGGATGGCATCTGGGCGCCGGGAGGTGCTGATGAGGTAGAAGATAATCCATATGATGACTATCAGCATCATGACAGTCAGCAGGAAGAAGACATCGTAATCGTGCACGGCAATTCTCTCAAAAGCCCCACTGCTCACCAGCGTGCAGGCCAGCAGGGCTAAGTGCACGGCCAGCAGGATGGAGAACATGCGGCCGCCCTTCTTCCACACCTCCTTGGAGCCTGGAGTGGAGGGCTGGTGGGGCTGCGGGCTGAGGGACATCGTCGGGTTGGAAGCCAGGCTGGCTTTGTCGTCCTTGGATCCGCAGCCCATGGAGTCGGACCGTCTGATCTCACTGTCCTTCCGCGCGGGCTCTTCGGTCATGGTTCAGCTGAGGGGGAAAGCTGCTGGGAGAAGAGACCGTGAGCATGAGGTCACTTCATTTTGAACAGCCCAGGGCTGGACCAACGTGAGACGTGGTATGAGGAGGAGAGAACGCGTCAGCGGAACGCCAAAGTCTGAGACAGGAGGAGCAAGAAGAGGAATGAGCTTATATTCAAACTGTTTCTTCCCGGTTCCCCTTGCTTAAGATGCTTTTGCACGGGCAGATAACAGGTCTGTTTAACAAAGTAATGCCTAATTTGCCATGCAACGTATATACTGATGTTTGTTGATGTAAGATACTGGAAAGACACCAGCAGAGCACTCCCAAGATCAAATATCCTGGGGCAAACGTCCAATGTGGTTTGACTTCTACATGCCAACCACTAAACGTTCTGAGAAAAATTGTCATGCTGGCTCAGGAGAAGGCCAGGGAAAGGTGAGAAAACCCCGGGAGCCTTCAGAACATCACTGTGGTTTGCAGCAGTTCCTGCAAGAGTGACGTGAGCCACCTCTGCCGGCCCTTTGTGCCAGGCTCAGCACCTCAATTCCCTGTGAAAAGCCTGAAACAAAGCAAAGCGACTGCTCAAACCGAGCATTGCACCGACCTGCTTTGCTGCCTGGAATCCAATCCCTGCTCTGCTGGGCTGCTGGAGAGGTTTCCCTGTTGCTGCAGCTCGATCAGTCAAAGAATTTATACCCGCTGGGATGTCTCTGTGATTTATACCATGGCTGGAGCTGACAGCAGTGCTTCATGGACTTCTCAGGAAAACTCACACGATCCATTTTGGGCAATTGCTGGTTTTGGGGAAGTATGAGAGATGAGGAGATAAGAGTTATTTACCTGAGGAGGGCATGAGGTGAGAGCACTGCTGAGCGTGGCATGACCGCTCGGCTGCAGGGTCACGGCTGCCATATGCAGAGCAAAGCCACCAAACCAAGCGAATTTCACTGCAGCATCTCTCACCCCTCGAGAGAAGACACTTTAGGTGATGAACTTTTTGCTGACAGTGTTGGGCTTGGTGTTCTGGTTAACTAAGCATAGCAAACACTGTGCCTCACCCTGTGCCATTCCCGTCAGCGTGCTCCCAGCCTGCCCTGCACAGGAATGTTTTTGAGGAAAAAGAAGACATTTGTGTTTGTATCTTTTCGTTGCCAAGGGCAGCTCGGTATCGTCCCACAACGCCCATGAGGAGGAAGGTTTAGCAACGAAGCGGAGCAGCATCTGGGGACGGGAATCTCCGCTCCCCTCCGCCGACGCGCCGCCTTTCAGGGTGGGATCGCCTTTCGCTGCGCGCTGGGAGCTTTTCCTCTCCCATCTCAAGGAGAAACGAGCCCAGCACCCAGAGCAGCTGGGACGGGAGCAGGCTGGGGCGGGCGGAAGCCTCCAGTGGGGCTCCGCGTGCCTTTACAGTTACATTTCGCAGGCAGACGAGGAGACGCAGCGCGCAGCGGCTTCCGTTCCTCGCTAAGGAAACCTCCCCGCCAGATTTCATTTCCTGCCGCGGCGCACGCGGCGCTGCCGCTGCCCTGCTGCCACCCGCCGGCTGCAACCGCACCCCGCGGCTGTGCCGAGCGGGGCCGTTCCCAGCGCGCAGCCCCCGGGGCGGCACGGCGTGCGCTCTGCCTTCGGAAAGCGCGGAGGGGTCGGAGCCGAAGGCACCGCTTTGTCGCCGCGCCGTGGGCTGCCCGCAGCTGGGACGGTGAGGTCCGGCTCCTGGCTCCGTGTAGGACCGCCTAAAAATCGGCCGTGCGTGTGGACCCACTGGTGCGTTTTTTTGCTCGCATGACCGATGCGTTCACAGGAAGTGGGAAACGTTTGTAAGCAAAGATTGAAGGGTACGCGGCCTGCTGGAAAGTCCATTGAAACGCAAATGACTTTTCAGCTGCTTTCTACTGATCCCTGCTGGTTTCATCCGAGGACTCAATGCTAAGCAGCTGCTCATGAGATGCGCTGCCTCATGGCAAGAAAACCGCTGGCTGGCAGTCAGCAGTGGGGACCATTGGAGCATTTGCAGCTGGGCTGCCCGGAAGAGGGCAGGGAGCAGGAGGGGCTCGGGCAGCTCTGCGTGCACACTGTGCTCACCTTGTCCAGAGCCTCCGCACAGCACGTGGGCACTGCAGACTGCGCATAGAATCGGAGAATGGTTGAGAAGGACCACAACGATCATCTCGTTCCGACCCCTCTACCCCCGGCAGGGTCTCCAACCACCCTCCAGGGTCTCCAGCCACATCCACCCTGGCCTTGAACGCCTCTAGGGACAGTGCAGCATGCAAGGAGCTGCACTGACAGCGGAAACAGAGGAAGGAGCGTTTCCTGCCTTGGGCAACACTCTCGGTCTCCCGTGGGAGCCGCCACAGAGCCTGGTAATAACAAGGGTAGCGAGTAATAGTGCAGGAATCATTAAATAACCTCAGTAATGAATTGCAGGCATTACTCGGCTGCTTTTCACCTGAAGGATCCCGGCAGCAAATAGCTGTGTGTGCGGTGCATCCGTGACGGATGGCTGAGCGGTAGAGGACCTGCGGGTGGGACTCAGCGCCGTCAGCCCAGGCTCAGTCACTGCACCTGGTGCTGCTCTGGGCTGCCCTCCCTTTCTCACCCCACTCCCAGCCCACCCTGTGCCATGCCTGGAGCCTGGCACGAGGCTGGCAAAGAACCCTGCTGCCGTAGGGCACTATGGGGCTCCGCACAGAGAGGAGCAGGAAATTCCTCCTCCCTGATGGTGTGGCCCAGGGGTTAGGATTCACTGGGTGATACAATGCGCCGCCACAGCCATGTGCCTTGGGCAACATCCGGGCTCATCTTGGCACCTCCCAACAGCAGAGGGTGCCCCGGGCCTGGGAATCCTGTGAGAGCAGATTCCCTGGCACTGAGCAGCTCCCCGCAGAAATTTGGTTCAGCATGAAAGGTGTTGGAGGACTCGTGTTGCCCCTCCAACATGTTGTGGCAGAGGTACTCAGACACAAGCAGGGATGGTTGTGGGGTCCCTCCGTGTCCCTGCTGATGGAGCTGAGCTCTCGCTGCTGCTTCATCAGCCCCTGCTGACAGCGTTAAGGTCAGGTGCAGGGGGTGTCAGGCAGGATTCAGCCCGCAACACCTTCTGCCTGCTCTGTTAGGAGACATTCAGTCCTGGCAAGCTGTCTCAGGATGACCCTGCATCCGCAGCACTTGGCTGAGCCTGGTGCAGCAGTGCTGCTTAACTGAAACTTCCACTGTGCTGCGGAGCCGGCGGAGGTGGATGTTTAGGACCCAGGGGAAGCCCTAGAGAGCGTGGCTGGGTTGGAAGGAGTCCCTGCCTCCCTGCCTGCGCTTCTCAGGTGTCCTGCTAAGGGCAGAGCTGCACGCAGTGACGGGGCCCTTCTGGCAGCTCCCCTTCCCCATGCCCACTCCCTGAGCCCCCTGTGCACCCATGTGCTCGCCCGGGAATCGCTGCCCACCATGAATGACCAGTACCACCGAGCGGCCCGGGACGGCTACCTGGACCTGCTGAAGGAAGCCACCAAGAAGGACCTGAACTCGCCGGACGAGGATGGCATGACCCCCACCCTGTGGGCCGCCTACCATGGCAACCTGGACGCCCTGCGCCTCATTGTCAGCAGAGGGTGAGTGCTGGCGGCGCGGTTCCCCGCGGCAGAGAAGTGCGAACGGCGGCTTTCCCCTCCTGTGCAGTTGTCCTACAAAGTGATGGTTGCTGTCCATATCGCCTTTGCTCCTGTCCCCCACTTGTCGTTCTTCTCTCCTCGTTGCTCTTTTATGCCTGCTCTGGGTTTTCCCAGCTTCTTTGGCCCCGTAACCAACCCTTTGCTCTGTAACTCCCAGGTAGGGCTGTGTCCCCCTCTGGGAGCCCTGAGTCAGGTCCTATAAGGACAGGCAGAGCCAAAACATTGGCACGTTGGGTCACTGCCACAAAGCCAGCCCTTCTGAATGAGGGGACAGAAGCAACGAGTTCTCCTTCTGTCCCACAAAATGCTCTCGTGGAGGAGGGATGTGTGCTGTGCCAGCTGGCAGCGGGTGATGCTTGCCTGTCCTACCCAAAGCAGGGTCGGGATGTGCCCCACCAGAGCCTGCTTTGCACCTGGAGCTCAGGAAACCGAGGAGCAGATGACCTGGGGGCAGGGTTGCTGGGGCTGCCAAGTCTGAGGGTTGCTGGTGTGGATGCACAGAGGGAGGGACTTGGTACCAGGAGGGCTTTGTGCTTCGGTGTAGGGGTGAAGCTGTGCAAGGTCTGTGCTACAGCAAGATGTGCTGCACCTGATTCATAGTACAGATAGATTCCTTCCTGTTCTCCCCTGTTCTCCCTCACTTTTCCTCCCTCACCTCCTCCAGGAGCACACGTCAGTATTCATTCTGCATAGCTTTGTGAACATCTCATCTGAAGGAATCTGTCAGCTCACATGATGGCACTTCCCTGCTTGCACCCACCCTGGGCTGTGTTTGCTCCCTTGTATGTGATCAGCCACATCTCCGCTGTTCCTGCTTTGGCCTCAACATCTCCTGACGCTTTGGTCCGTTTCAGCCCAAGGGCTGCGTCCGCAGGCAGAGCTCTATCACACTCGACAGCCCTTCCGTTATAAAGCATTTTCTCTTCAAATTCAGAGCCAGAAGGGCTGTGTACATCCATTTTGAGAAGTCCTGTGGTGCCCATCACAACAGAGGAAGGCTCAGGATGGAATGTCCGCTGGGGAGAGGCCAATGCCGTGCTCTGAGCACAGAACCAGGAGGGGATGCGCTGGGCTACCACTGGGCTGGGCACATACTGCTGCTGAAAGGATTCTGAAGATGCTCTGACAGCCAGGAGCCTTGCTGGAGGACAGGTCCAAAGCCTGCCTGGTGCTGACCCACAGATCCGTGCCCTCGACCAAGCTCAAGGGTTACAGTCCTGCACGGGAGCCTCCTTTATAAATTCGCATTCAATTAAATTCTGATGGATGTGTCTGAGTGCAGCTCGGCTGCTGTTTAATTAATGGTCTAATATACATTTGCTGCTGACAGGGAAAATAGCACGGCGGAGGGATGGTGCCCTTTAGGTGATGGATGGCAAGGCAAAGCAGGCATCCTTCTCTACATGCCCAGCACCACGCACTGAGCAGCAAAGCCTCCTCACCCCTCCAACCCGTGCTGAGGAACAGAAAAAAGAACAGAAAAACTCCCAGGCAGGGGTGCTGGGGAGGGAAAATGGTGCAGAGCAAGGGGAGATTTAGGATCTTGGGGGCTCCTGAGAGTGCCCAATGCCCAAAACCAGTGCTGGGCAGTGGAGAGATGCTGCAGTGGACTGTTGCCTCAGTGTCGCTGCTGGAGGGGATGGGCAGAGGGGAGGACAGCAGTGCTCATCCTTCTTGTTAGCGACACAAAAAGCCTTTTTGTTCCTCCTGGCTGGGCTCCAGCGAAGGAAAAAAACCGCAATTAACACAATGGATGGGAAAAGAGGCTGGCTGGCATTTAGTGCTGCAGATTTTCGGAGGCAGTCATTCTTCAGCACGGTCTGTTGTGCACTGCTGTGGCAGTGATGGGCGTCAGTCCAGCTCCAGATCTCCAGGAGCTGAGGGGCTCTGCCAGGAGCACCCCCTTGGCTTGGGGCAGCCCACAGAGCTGTGGGTACGTCTTTCTGCTGTGGAGATCCACAGGCAGTGCTGTGCGTTGTGCCCGTGGCAGTGGGGGGCAGCCTGGGGGTGAGCGCAGGAATGGTGCGGAACGCAATCAGCGCCACAGGCAGCCCTGAGCTGAATCTCACATGGAGCATGTGGTGCTGGGTTGTGTGGAACCTGAACTCACTGGACAAAAGCTGAATCCCTGACTCAGCAAAGCTTACAGTGCGGCACCTCAGGCTCTGCGCTGGGTTCCAAGCTCATTTTCTGGCTCGTTTCTAAGCTTTGCTTACGTCATCGCCCTGAAGCTGCTTGGTTTTTCCTCAAGCCGTGAATGACTTTCTGCTCTCCCTACAAAACACCGTCACATGCTGCAGAACCCAGGGCTGCTCTGCGTCCCAGTCAGAGGCCCCACTCCTTCCCACACCTGAGTGTGCCGTGAGCCAGCCCCTTGCTATGGAGGAACTCTGCACATGTGGCCAGGGGAGGACGCGTGCAAGGGCCGGGTCCCGGGCTAATTGGGGTCCCAGGGGAGAAGTGGAAGGGGAAAACCGGCAGGAAGGGAGTGAGCGTGCGTGTCACGGGGAGAACGCGGTGACTCAGGAGATGCACACGTCCACCCAAGGAGCTCAATTAACAGCATTTTTAATAGCGATGATTATGGGAGTTGACTCAGCACTCAAAAACACTTTGAAGCTGAGATGCACTGTGCTTCACACCTGTTATTAAAATGTGTTCCCACTTAGTGGACCCTGCAGTCAGCATCTGCCGATGCGCAGTGCCCTGGAGGGGAAGTTTTGGGCAGTTGGGCGCCCAGCGGGGGGAGGGCTTGTTATTACCCAGATCAAACACGTCTCCTTTGCGAGTCAGCATTGCTCCTTCCTTGTTTTTGGTGCCTCTGGCAGACATGTATGGGACAAAGGGACCTAGGGATATAATTCTGCACTGTAAGTTTTGCTTTAGCCAGTGGAAATGTCCAGAGAAAGCTGGGTTTGGTGCTCTTTCCCCTCATTTATTCTCGGAGGCAATGAAAGGATGAGCAAAGTAAACCTTCAGATGTGAATCCCCCAGGAGCTTTCTGTCTTTGCTCTTTGCAACCAGGTGGATGTGAGAGATATGGTGAAGCATCCATGCAGCTTGCCTTGGGCATCAAAGCCAATCCATCTGAGCCACTGCCACCTGCCCATCCGAATCACAGATCCTCATACGTGTCCGGCCCCTCTCGTGCCCTTGGACTCCACCACCAGCCCCAGCAGTTCCAGTTTCGCTGGCTCTTTAATCCAGCTGCATCAATAATTTACTCCTCTCTTGCAAATCATCAAATATTTATCCTGCCCATGAATTTCCCAGCCTGAACATGTCACTACAGGGGTGGGAGGGAAGGCTGGGGAGTTACTGCTCCTGGGAGCTCGGTGTTGCTGCAGGACCTCTGCTGATGCCTTGATGGCTCCCTCGGCCCCACAGCCTCCCCATCCTCCTCCTCTCAGCCCCCTCATCTTTGCAGCCTTTTCCTGCTTCTATGAGAGATGACAAAAGCTCTGAATGCATAAATCGTGTAGGGTTTGTGGGGCTCAGTTCCCTTACACAGCTCTGGGCCTTTTGACCAGCTGCTGCTTAATGGGGACCTTGTGGTGAAGGGACAGTGCTGGGTTCCTACAGAGCCCCCTGGGGAAGGGCAGAGGGGAGTGGGGCAGGAGCTGCGTGGAGCCATGCAGCCTTCACAGGAAGCTTTGCCTTATCCATGCTCCTGAAGGAGAGTGCTCTGCTGACAGATACTGCTGGCTGCATATCATTAGCACACACGCTCGAGTGAAAGCTGGTGCCAGCAGTGGCATGAGCCATCTCTCGTTTCAGCTGATCATAGATACAGGGGAACGGCAGAAGGGTGAAGGTCTCCCAAATCCTATTTGTGTTTGTCCCATCAAGGGAGGCAGGAGGTGTGGGCAAGTTTGTGCCCCAGCAGCGCAGCTGGGACAGGGCACGATGTGGGAAGAGACATTCATGGCTTTAATCACGTGTCCAACTCTTGAGGAGTGCAGAAACCTTATCTGCACTTTCTCTGAAACTGGATTCTTAGGATGTGCTCATACCAACGTGCAATCGAAACCGCACGTGGTATGGCAACCCCCCCAGAAGCCCAACCTCAAGGCAGTGCCACAGCCTTGCCCTCGTCCCCTCCTGAAGTCGTGCCCTCTGCTGCTCTGGGTTCCCCTGGCACAGATAACACAGAGGTGCAAAGGCGCAGCGCGGCGTTCAGAGCCTGTGCTGAGGATGGGGTGGCCCTTTTGTGGTGGTGTTCCTATTGGGGTGGGGTGACGTGGAGTCCCATTTCAGTTGCGGTGTATGGAGGGGCATTTTGGGATGTCTCTGTGCGATCGGAATGAAGATGGCATCTGAATAACGCCTAGTGGTATGCTTGAGGTTGGAAACTCTGAGACCTGAGCTGGAGTCAGCCTTTCATCTCAGTTCTGGGCTAATCAGAACCTGGCCTGTCTCGCTCCAAAAACTGGTTTGATGCAGGAACACGAACGTCCTGAGAGCTCAATTCAAGTCATAGGAATTACTGTAGGTTTGTCTGTCAGGCACATGATTCCATGGCATTGCACACCCCATCAAAAACTTAACACCCGGCTGTGGGAGATGAGAAAAAGATTCATTGTGCAGGTACTGCTTTGCCCCGCACACCTTCAATATCTCATTCTTTAGGACATCTCCCAGCCGTCTGTCAGACGAGGCAGCATGCTAACACTTCTTTTCCTTGCTGTCTAGGGGGGATCCAGACAAATGCGACATCTGGGGGAATACTCCTCTTCACCTGGCGGCGGCCAACGGCCACCTGAACTGCCTTTCCTTCCTCATCTCCTTCGGGGCCAACATCTGGTGCCTGGACAATGACTACCACACCCCGCTGGACATGGCAGCCATGAAGGGGCACATGGAGTGCGTGCGCTACCTGGACTCCATCGCCGCGAAGCAAAGCAGCCTCAACCCCAAGCTGGTGAGCAAGCTGAAGGACAAGGCGTTCCGGGATGCCGAGCGGAGGATCAAGGACTGTGTGAAGCTGCAGAAGAAGCACCACGAAAGGATGGAGAAAAGGTACAGAAAGGAAATGTTGGATAATTCAGACACCATGAGCTTCTCCAGCTATTCGAGCAGCACCTTAAGCAAGAAGTTCCAACACATGTCCACGGTGACCTCTCTGCCGTACTCACAAGCCACCATCCACGGCACAGCCAAGGGAAAGACGAAAATACAAAAGAAGCTGGAGAAGAAGAAGCAGGTGGACGGGACGTTCAAAATCTACGAGGACGGGAGGAAAAGCGTGCGGTCCCTGTCGGGCCTGCAGCTGGGGAGCGACGTCATGTTTGTGAAGCAGGGCACGTACGCCAGCCCCAAGGAGTGGAGTCGGCGGAACGTCCGGGACATGTTCCTCACCGACGAGGACACCGTCTCCCGTGCCATAAGCGACCCGGGCCTGCACACGGACTCGGCCCGCTCAGAAGTCAGCACCGACTCCGGCCACGAGTCGCTGTTCACCCGGCCCGGCTTGGGCACCATGGTGTTCCGGCGCAACTACGTCAGCAGCGGGCTCTTCGGGATCGGCCGCGAGGACGCCGGCGTGCCGGGGGAGGGCGACGCGGACGGGGCAGGAGTCAAACTGCGCAGCCGCCTGCAGCGCTCGCCAAGTCTCAACGACAGCATCGGCAGTGCCAACAGCCTGCAGGAGAGGAACGCGGAGGAGCTGCCCTGGGACGAGGTGGAGCTGGGCCTCGATGACGATGACGAACCGGACACCAGCCCCCTGGAGACCTTCCTGGCTTCCCTGCACATGTTTGAGTTCGTCTCTATCTTGAAGAAGGAAAAGATCGACTTGGAGGCCCTCATGCTGTGTTCGGACAATGACCTGAAGAGTATCAGCATCCCGTTGGGCCCCCGGAAAAAGATCGTGGATGCCATCCAGAGGAGACGGCAGACTCTGGAGAGGCCAGCCGTTATTGTAGACACTGAACTGTAAGTAGGAGATGGGGCCACTGAGCGATTAAACCTTTCAGCGGGTGGAGATTTGGATAATGTAAGGTCTGCTTTTCAACTCACTTGGAAAAGTAGGAGTCCAGGTAACCTCCGTGCTTCTGTGTGTGAGCAAATTCCTGCTTGTGTGGAAATGATGAGAGTTCAGAGAGGTGGCAATAGCATTAGCTCATTACTCAACAGCCCTTGTGGCTGGGCAGGATGTGAAGTCCTTGCTTTGTTTCATAACCTTTATGAATGCAGACTGCTCTGTGGTCTGATTCTTCTGAGTCCCCTAGCTGGGATTTCCAACCACACTCACGCTTGCCTTGACTCTTCACCTTTGGAAAGAAGTAATGATGGTTCCCGGTGGGAGCGGGCTGAGCGCACCGCCCAGTGCCATTGGCAGCCCTTCCCCAAGAGCTTCACATCTTCAGAGATCTTTGGAGATTGCGTTATCTGGGTTGGAGATGTTACTTTATAGCCTTTCCAGAGTTTGTTTGGCTTGGTTTGAATGCATGCTTGCCATTGAGGTGAACTGAAGTTATTAGCATGGTGTTCCCGCTGTCACGTCTGCTGACACCACAACCACTGTGCTCCTTTTGCTTCCCATCCTTCACAAATCTGTGTGTTTCTTCCTCGTTTTTCTGGCTTCCAGCACAGCTCAGTCTTGGACCTCCAGGGTGCTGACAGGCTTTTCTCTTTCCTTTTGCAGATAGCAGCAGCAGCATTTTATTGGTTTTTTTTTTTTCTTTTTTTTTTTTTTTTTTTTTTTAATGAAACAAACACAGTTCTAAGTTGCCAGAAATCACAAGCCAGAGACTCTCTGCCTGGGGCAGCTGAAAGCTGCAGCCGTCCCCGTCCACCCCTGTGCCCTGCCCTCCTGTTCCCCCATTCTGCTCCATCCATGAGATGCTCCCAGCGGTACCCGATGGAGGATGGCTGCTGGGATGGGACCAGGCAGCTGCCACCTCCTCCCGCTCACCAGCGGAATGCTTGTGGGGCTGAGAACACACGAAGCCATGAAAGGAAGGAGCAGTGTGATGGTATTTTCCAAGGGACCCAAAATAAACAATCACATCTGTTCTTTCTTGAGCAAGTGGTTGATTTGGGGCACTGGGTAGAGGAGCAGGGGGCTGTGGAGCTGCATCTCTGGTTCTCGGTCGCTTCGGTCCATTGTTTGATATTGTGGTTTGGAAGGAAGTTTTGGTTATGCTGGTTTGGGGCTGTTCAGCTTGAGAATTGCCAGCCCTGCTTTCTGCCAGTGGAGCTCAGTGTATCCGTGAGACTGACCTGTGCTGTGGGAAGCGTGATGATCTGAAATGAAGATGCTGTTTTGTTGGGCTGTTTCCTGTTGCAACATGGGCCATGTGTCTGTCCTGTCCTTGCAGGACAGGAGCTGAGCCTGGAATTTCATCCAGAACTTCCCAGGCCTGGGGGCAGAACCTGTGGGCATCACAGCTGTGTGCAGCGGGGCCCGGTCCGAGCATCCTAATGCATGGCTGCTCAGCTCCCGGTGCCGCAGCTCCCGGTGCCGCAGCTCCCTCTGCTGGGTCCGGCCCGGGAAGCGCGATGGGCCGCGCCGCGGAGACGCGGAGTGACTGCTGTTGTCAGGCTGAAGGAACACAGAGATCCGCTCTCCCGACCTGGCTCTCCTCCAGAGAGCTGCTGGGAGGGCTGAGCTGAAAAGCGATGCGCCGCCGAGGGCCGCGGGACAGGCAGGTCCCAGGAAACCCCAGGTTTGCCGTGCTCGGAGACCAACGTGGTCACCTCCACAACTGCAGAGACGGACCAAACCTGAGCAGTGACGCGGTCGCTCTCTGAGCTCTGCTGTGGTATTTGGCCGTGGCTTCTCTATTTCCCACCGTGTCATTTCCCACAGCCCTGCAGGGCAGGGTGCTCCATGTCCCCCCGTCCTGCAGCAGGTGGCTCACCCTGGGTGCCTGCATCCCGCAAGGCTGGGGATGGAGCTGAGCTTTGCTCATCCCTGGGATGCAGATATGTGGCTGTTCCCCATCTCCTGGCACAGCCAGGCCCTGGCAGGTAAATCTCACCGCTATGAATTGCATCTCCTCTGTGACCAAGATCAACAAGCTCCTTTTGGAGTGGGTTCTTATGAAAGCAGGGTGGAGGCCAGGGCTGGCACACCCTGGAGAACACCCTTCCATACCCTCCCAAACAGAAACCCGGGCAGCAGGCGGGTTGTCCTGGCTCCATGCTGCCTGCAAGCAAACACCAGCCACCACAGCTGGGGTGACCAGACTCAGCCAGGAACCATGAATCCACATCTCTTTATGCCCTAAATGCCAGCCCTCCTTGTGCTGCTCTCCATGCTAAATTAGCAAAAACAAGTCCCTGTGTTTGGGCATGTGTTTCCCTACCCCAATGGTGCAGAACACGCAGCATCCCTAATTCCCGGGTACCAGGTACCACAGTGGAAGCCAGGAAAGGCCATGGGACGTCAAGTGGGTCCTGCAGCTGGAAGCGACCCCTGGAGGCTGGGCAGCACAGCACTCAGCCCACGGCCCTGTGTTGTGCTCCACACCGGGAGCCCAGGCAGAGGGCGGCACTGGGGTCAGTGACCTGCCAGGCCAGTGTGCGCCATTGCACACCATTTGCTTAACAATTTCCTGCCCATCCTGCTGGGAATTCACTTCCTGGATGGACAGCTGAGTAACATGGTGTGCAGACGGGAGGGGACGGCCGGGATGGAGGCAGCACTGTGGGGGTCAACACAGAGCTCCCTCTGCACACGGCTTTGCTCCCATCAGGGCACAGGGCTGGATGTGGCCCCAAATGCCACCCCTGTTGCTGGGGCTGGGTTTGGCCCTGCAGGTGCTTGGGTTGCACCTGTGAGCATGAACACATTATTTTTATTTATAAATTATTTTCTATGTCTGCTTCACACAATTTGTAAATGCTGACATGGGTTCTCCCTCTGGGTGAGCTCCCCAGTAGTGCTGTTCCCAGATTGCTCTGGAGGAGCGCTGAGGAACGGCATGGAGCATCTTGGGGAAGTAGGGGCACAGCACTGGTGCAGAGCAATGTCTGCATCCCAGCACCTCTTGTGGCCAGAGTGGGGCTGACAGCACTGGTTGTAGGCGGGTGAGCCTGAACTTGTTGCCTTGCAGAGGAGAGCATGGGAACCCAGCCTGATCTGAGATTTTCAGCTTTGCTGTGGCAATGGCAGCACATGTTTGCTCTGCAGCTGTGGAGTTGTGGTTGTGATCGCTTTTCAGTCCCCATGGTGACGGTACACAGCTCTTTCTGCAGAAGCATACGAGGCTGGTGGGGGTTGCAGGGAGTTCTTTAACATTTTAAGATGTACTTCAGCAGCAACTAGAAACAATTTTCCCCAGTGCAGCACACCAAGCTCCAACTTGCATGCGTTGCCTAGTGCCAGCAGGAAGAGCAGATCACCTCGCAGCTCTCCCTGTCCCCCATTGCAGTCCCCGGGACCCCTGCCTGCTCAGGGACCCGTGCCCTGGAGGAGGTGTAAGGACGGGTTGAGCTGGGTTCAGCACCCCTTTGCTTCCATCCCATTGTCTCACTGGAACCTGCCTGGTGCGGCCGCATTGCAGCCAAACCCACTGTGTCTGTGGGGTGCTGCCCCAGCCAGCTCAGGCTGCATTTTGGGAATGCTGCCTCTGTGTGTCCCCATCCCGATGCGCACGGGTGGCAGGCGCAGGAGAGAAATGCAGAGGAGAGTGGGGCAAAAACCCTGAATGGGGCAGAGGAAGGATCCTGGCTCCTATCCTAAGCACTGTGTTCAGCCTTTCCCAGACAACCCCAATCCTTGCCCCACTCCCAGTCCCCAACACTGGCACCAAGTGCTCAGGCAGCCCCACAGCCTTATTGCAGCCCAGCTCCGTGGCATGGAGGTTGGTCCTCCAGAACCCACCTCCCCACAGCAGGGGTCTCCGAGCACAAAGAATCTTTACAAGTCTGGAGGAAGAGCCGCAGCAAAGACTCCCAGATGGGAACACGCGTGAGGCGACCGCTCACTGTCTGAGCCGCTATGTCCAACCCCATCCCAGCTCAATAACAGAGCTAACGAGAGCCGCTGTCAACAAGTCCATAGCTCCCAACCTGCGCAGGGAAGGGCGAATGAAAGCGCCGTGCTCGAGGGACGGAGGAGGAGAAACCTGTTTCACTGACCTTGCTCCATCCCTGGCGTCCTGGCACTGCTGCGGCCGTGTCGAGGTGCGGGGCTGCGGGCGCGGGCAGCTCCGATGCCCTTAGGGGTGGCACTGGGGGCAGCGGGGCCGCATGGCCGGCGGTCGGGGATTTGAGGATGCGGGGCCACGAGGCGAGAGGGCGAGACCCCGATGGGCCGATGCTGCGCCTCGGCTGTGCCTTCGCCTGCCTGGGAGCCTCGCTCCACCCCTCAGCTGCTAATAAAGCCTCCGCCACACCGGTCCCTCCTTTGGCACTGACTCACCGGCTGACCCAGCCCAATCCCTTACCTGCCCTGCACCTCCATTTTCTGACCTACAAACCAGGGCTGATCCCCACCACTCTTACATAAGGGAGTCGGGCACAAACCACGCAGTGCTTTGCATCCCACGAGAGACGATCAGAAGGCCCGGGGGACGACAGCAGATGCCCAGCAGCAATGCCCTGAGCTCAGTCACTCATGCTAACACACGCATGGATCCTGAGCGTGTGCTCCATGCATCCTGCACAGCCTCTTAGCGTGCAGTGAACTGGCTGCCCACTGCAGCTCCAGGCAAAGATCTGAACGGGGATTTTCCATATAGTTCATGGCTGGGAAGAGGAAGCGAGAGGATGGGTGCTGTCCTTGGCACTGCGTCCTACCCAATGCAGAACGCCTTTGCCCTGCTGCCCCAGCACCCCTTAACCCATCTGTGTGGGTCTGGAAAACATGCAGGGGCTCAGGGTTTCCATGCTTGAGGAAGATGCCAGCTCAGTATCCCCATACCAAAATTTCTTAAATTAAAAATAGAAAAGAAATTTAATACTGAATTAAGACATCCTTTCTTTTTCTTTTCTGCTTTCAGAAGACACCAGCGATGGCTGCTGTGTGTGTGCCCTGAGAGGGAGGACACCTTTCTCCTGTCCCAGTCTCATGCGCACCCCATGGAGGTGCATTTAGGGATCCTTAGGGTGTGGGACTGCGAGTGCTGGGCCCTGGGAGCTGCTGTGGTGCCGGCGCAGGCAGGAGGCAGGAGCTGACCAGATGCCTTCTGATGTAAGAGGCTACACAGTGTAGGCAGGATATCGGCAGCAGCACCAGCGTGTGTGTGACTGCTGCTCTGGGGCAGAGCCTGTGAGGGCTGAGCAGCCCCTGGGGCTCAGTCATACCCAGAGCCATCCCCAGAGGGACGCGTGGGATGACCAAAGAGCGGCTTTGGTGGGAGGTGTGGTGCTGCCCATGTCCCCAAGAGCCACTCCTGGGAGTAGCAGGTGTGGGGGACAGCAGGGTCCTGGCTGGGGGCTGGAGGCTCTGCTTTGAGCAAGGGGATGAGTGATGGCACAGAAGCGTGAGCACAAGGCTGGGATGTGGCCCTGAGCCCCGCTCACAGCTCCAGGAAGGCATCCACACCTTGGCAAGCGGTCATCGCCTCCTGGCATGCAGGCAATAGATCAGCCCCAAGTATTCGAGGCAGCCAGCCCAGGGCATTACTCACCCAGCCCACGGCTTCACTTGGCTCCCTAGGCAGGAGCACGATGGGCTCAGTCTGCCTCGTCCTGGCCAGGACCAGTGCCATGACTGGGGACGTGTCCCCAGCGCAGACTGGTTTCACC